TTGTATTAAGACGCGTGAAGGGGAGTAACGCAAATTTAGTTTATATGAAATGAAAAATTAAGAAGACGTTTTGTTGAGATATAAGTGTTAAAATTTAAATTTTAATCAATGAAATAATCTTCGAATTTGTAATTCGGATTTTTTATAATTCAAGTAAAAACCATTTGGCAAGGAAAGAATAAGCTTTGCCAAACGCTTTCAGCATTTGAGGTCTACAATCAGTTCTACAAGCAACGAGTTTCATTAAAATCCAAGGGAGGTCAGCTGCGGGATCCCCTTGTAAGCATAAATCCCAGCCTGGTCGTCCAAGCACTGTTAGAAATTAAAGTAGATTAAAAAGTAGCGGGCCAGTTGAGGAACGAGGTTGCTTTTCGTGGGCGAACTGAAACGACTCCGTCAGAAAATTGGCTTACAGCGTATGCCTCCCCCGGGAATCACACTTCTTTTTTATCGCGCGACGAAAGTTCTCCAGACCCGCAGAAAAGAGTAATCGTCTTTTATTGGCGCTTAGTGGACTTACTTCTAATGTTTCCATATTCTTCCCTCCGCACTCATATTCCTCGTCTTTTTCGTAACTTGATCTCTTTTTATCATAAATTTACATTTCATAAACCAACTGCGAATCTTAGTCTCATACCTATGCATAAATAAATAACACAAATAAACGTTATAAACAGACTGAAGCGTAGCAGAAAATTCTGGAATAAAATCGACAACAACTGATTCCACAATCATACGATCAAATGAAACTCCTTAAACTTCCACAAAAAGAAGATCACTTTAACTAATCCAATATTTGAACCCGGAAATTCAATTATTATTCCAATCTTCTTATTCCAACTCAATCTTCAATGTATACACATCTACCACTCCGGAACCAGCAACTTCCTTCTGCACAATAAGATTCCTTCCGTTCACCATCGTAACACGATCTCGGTACAGAAAACACTGATTCCCGATTCGTCCCGAACTCGTTCCCGGTAAATACGTTCATCCCGATTCTTCTAGCCGGTCCGGCAGACCGTGCGACGATATCGGTGTACAGCAGCTGTCGCGTCGTAACGTACGGACATTTCGCGTCCGTCTGTTTCTCCGTGGCTGCATAATGCATACAACGCATCCGTGCACTCAGGAGCACAGGCCAAGTCCCTTTTGCACTTACTTCGCCTCTCGGCTGCCTCGCTTCGTGGACCACTGGCATCTCCGTCCCCCCCTCGAGGGATGTCACAATACTTTTGTTTGCAGCGCGGTTGACTCCTCTGTGTCGAGCTCGTTTCCACGGCCAGCTAGCCAATCCTATCTCAGGAGATCATGATCCTGCCTGGCCAACCTGGCCGCGCTCATCAATCGGCTTCAGAGATATCGGAACCTTTGCTAATCTTTCCGGACTAATTACGACCACTTGATCGACAGTTTTTGTTGCACGCTACATTTACATTCTTCCGGCGCACGCCCTATCGACGGCTTCCGGTGGCTCCGCGACATATAAAATTATCATTGCTCGGTGATCCATCATTAGACTGCAGATTTTCGTGCAAAGTGAAATTTTTGAGAATTTAAGAAAAATAAGAAAAATGAAGCAAGTATTGTAGGAATCGCTACACTTTGGATATTTTATAAACTTGTTCGTATCTCCTGCATTCCGTGCAATTTTGTACTTTCAGATTTCTCATGAACGCATTAAATTTCGCAGTCTAGCGATCACACGCGATCACAGGTGTCTTCTTCTATTGTGCACGCGAGGAATTTCGATGGAAGTCGGTTTTTGACGTACCGATCAGATTTTGATAAATGTTTGAAGAATATTAAATAGTTTCCGGTTCCCATGAAATTGCGTGGAAAATTGACTATTAAGTATTGACTATAATTTTTCAGTTTTCCAACGAACAGAATTTTTAACGCTCATCGAATAATTCATGTACCATACGCCGAAAGAAAATTCATTTGCCGATACAACAGTAATGATGAAAGTTCTTTATATGAATATACTTGTTATGTGTATGAATAAATCTGATAATATACGAACAGTGGCGCAGTGAAAATATTACAATACAAATTTCCATTTAAATGATTCCATACATTGCGGAACTGTAAGCTTCATTTTCGTTCATGCAAAATTATTGCGAGTATTACACAATGTTCATTCAAATAAAATTTATATTAAAGCTGTTGTTTTTTTACTCTCTTTATTATGTCGTACGAATATTTTAGCCTGCAACGCGAGGCGCAGAAATTACACGTTGAGTACTAGTTCCAAATAGCAAACAGTATTTAATCGCGGTAAGAGATAGAGTTTGCTATCGCAGTGGAATTTCTATTATTCGACGGGCTGCTTCGTATCTTACAATTAGATCCTTCGCTCGTGTCCCGGGCGAACGGTTCGTCCCCTGGTGAACGATTCTTTGGATAGCGAGGCGAATATCGATCGTGGTTGAAAGGATTTGGAATGTAACTCATTCAGATCGCGGACTCCGACGCTGATCAATATGTGTGGAGAAAAGTCTTCCTCGTGGTTGGTTTCCCGTCACGTTTTTCAGCTGGAGATACTTCTATTCTAGCCGGCGTGATTCTTTGCGGAGCCACTTTGACATTTATCTGATTAAAATCGAACCGGTCCCTTCTATCCCTTCACTGAGCCCTTTTCAAACGTCACTTTATAATACAGCAAATGTTCAATTCAATTCCGCGTTCTACCGCGGCAACACCTTTTTCACGACATGAGCGCATCAAACGTACACCTTGTACGTCGCTGTTCCTTTGATTTGTCGTTCAATCCTCTATCAATAGACTTATTCCACAACTCTAGTATTCATAGCGCACGCGACTTAGCGAAACACAAAATTATCAAGAATTAACCAAGCTTTCGCGTCAGTTTTACGTTGACAAAACACTTCCGAGCATATTTTATCTGATATAATTTCAAAGTTTTAACCTTCGAAATTTGATTTTGTCCTTTTCCTCTGTCAACAAAGCTATAGCCTATAACCCATAGAATAATAATTAAAAACTGAATAATAACTATATAGGATAAGAATAATTAAAAACTAAATGAAATCTTGATCGAAAAACTAAATAAGCCTTGAAGTCCACGAAGATCAATACACCGTGAACGATTAAAAAATCCATACTCTACCCAAGGAAACCGAATGACATCGCGGTCCGATATATCCAGTCTGTAAAGCGATGCGCCGAGGAATCTAGCAAATATAAATGAAAAAATCGAAAAGGGAAGAAGGAAAAGCTCGGCAATAAAGGGGGTCGCGGTGCAGGTATTCAAATTCTGCGGTGGATCTAACTCGGCTGAGCCCTCAAAGACGAGAATCCGTTCGACATAGCGACGCGGTATTTCCGATGCGGCGTTATTATACGCACAAACAAATCGATCGGTATTAAACGTTTACGACGCAGTCGAAAGAACCGCGGCCTATAAAACACGCGTTTCAATGTGGAAAACGGTGCGGCCTGGGTAGAGTCACAGTTCCGGGGCAACACGCGCTCGCTCTTCGACAGAAATCCATCCTGGATCCTCTCTGTTTTCTGATATCTCCCTATTCGAGCCCTGTGCCC